ATATATATATATATATATATATATATATATAAATAAAAGATTTATCCACTTTTTCATTACTAGGGTCTGGCATTAAGTTTTACCTTCGATTGTAATACTTTTTCTAACGAAGTGAGGTGAGAAAGTAAAAATGGAATCAATGTAAATTCGGAACTGTTGTTGTAATTAATTGCAAATATTGGTTGTAGAAATTTATTGACTGACCCTCTTAAATCTCTGAAATATCATTTATGTTTGCATAAACTACTAATTACTTGTCATGAATAAATTGAGGTAAAAGATAAGTATTGATTCTTATTTTTTTTTTAAATATGTGCCTTAAGGCAGAAATAAATAAGTTAAGAATTTTATTAAAAACATTCAAAACCTTTTAATAACTATTAATAATTATATCATATTCCATGAAATATAATTATTTCCATATCTCTTGTAGAGTTAGTCAAAATAACTTACTGGAATGTTCATGTCGGAAAGAAGGGACCTACGAATGGAAGAGGTAGGCCGTCGCAACACCGCCTAGCTTTATGGTAGTGTTGGCTGCCGCATGTAAGGAAGTTAGAATCAGTCTTTTTTCTGAAAATTGAAATGTAATCTTTATGTGTTATATATGTTTTATTCTTATTTGCGGGGAGCGAATTCGCAATTTTCTCCAGAGGGAGACAAATAACACTTAAGGGGAAAGAGGTGAATTGAAGAATTGATTAATGAATAGAATACCATTTTCATTAAGAAATGTGATCGGAATAAATTCTAAGAATGCTCTTGGGATTTTTTTAAATTTTTGGTCAAATTTTCTACGTTTGGTGTGAATACTTCTGAGAATGAAAATAATAAATAAGATACATAAAATTATTAATTGTGTCTCTGGCAGGGACATACTAATATTTTTCCAGCAGGTGGCATCGAAGTCTTAGGATGGGATGATTCTCGACATCTCAATCTATTCACACACACTATTTATTTGAATCATAGCGATTTATAGAATTGGCCAGAAGTGAATAGACCTCTTGTAACACGCGCTGAGATGGATGTGTACGTTTCGTGCTGCTATCTGCCGGATCATTCTCACTGGACTTGCTGTGAGCCCTTTCTATTGTTATTTCTGTGTGCATAAAGATGGCCGCTGGATGTTGTGGGACGAAAAAGCAAAAGCTTAATAATTCGACAAGTATAACGTGCAATGGGACATCCCACATCCCAAACGGAGTGCGTAATGGGATGGTTGCCCATCCAGAAATGTGCTTCTTTTGTTTTGATGTTTTATATTGCCACCTACATAGTTTGGAACCACCGAAAACTCCGAACTTTTGCAACGATCCATAGTGAGTAGTGGTTTTTAACTTGGCATGAATTGCCTGTTTCAGATTATCCTTTATTAGGATATTTTGTTATGCGTATATTTAGCCCATTTACGAGACGTTAAGTTTTTGGGGTAGTTACGAGCCCCTCAGTTTCAATTCTTTTGTGTAGCTGAAAGTGGGTCACAAGAAATTTCAAGGTTGTGAAAGTGAGTTCTTTGTTTGCAGAACCATGAAGTTGATGGTTGGAAGGAATCGATTTGTTTATTTACTTATACGTGTTAATTGTAGAGAATGAGACTTTTTTGTGTTGGACTTTGTTATTTGCATTATCACTTTCTTTGTTCACAGATGCCATCTCAGTTATAACATTGAATAAAATGAAAATTATTGTCGTACCCATATGAATAATTTGTTATTATTGCTGTTTTTTAAACTTTTTTTGTAAATCAAAAATTAAAAACCGAGCATTTATAATTGTATTTCTTTGCATTCATGATAATTTATACTGTCACCTGATATCTCACTTGTGTAGCATAACATACACACTAGATTCTGTACAATTTCTTGAATGGTATTTGCTGACTGAAAGACACTCCATACTGTAGTGTTTGGGAGGGTCTTGATTTATGTTTCAGAGGAACACTTTTTGCAGAAAATTTGTCATTTAATGATATTTAAATGACCATGAAATTCAGCGTGATAAGAAAATACAGGAAACTGCATGGAACTTCATGATGGTTTCATTCAATATTAATCTTATTTTAGATGACAAAAATCTGTTTTCATCTTGTCTACTTTGGTTAAGAATTATGATTTTAATTGCAGTTTTCAGGCTGTATTGATATGTCGTTGAAGTTGCCTGTGGTAAAAAAAACTTTAGCAAGGTAGGAACTCCAATCATATTACAAAATTGTTTCAATTTTCAGCCCACTGTTTGTGACTTGGAAGATTGGAAAGGACAGGCGGTTACGAGGCTGTATAGGCACTTTTAATGCTATGAACCTCCATTGTGGATTACGTGAATATGCAGTGACCAGGTGAGCAGGGCTCTTGGGCTGGTTTCCTTCTGGCATTTTTGGGACATGACTCTGCTTTCCTTTAGTTTCATATACCCTCATTGCATGTGATCTCTTGGAGCCTAACTGTCTGAAGAACACAATTTATATTTTTATGCAGGTATGTCCATTAAACAAAGAATCTCTTTTGCTTTTCCTTCTTTGAACGTCTAATGACAAGTAAAATTATACAACATGTGTGTATGTGTAGTTGTACATGTGAGAAAGCAAATGATTGTATGTGATTGGCACTTAGGAAATTGGAAGAAGATAGGCACACGTTTTGTTTTTCAAGGAGTATTTTAAATGAAGTTCAAATTAAATAATTAAATTCAGAATGTTTGAGAAAACCTAACAGCATGTTCTGTTCTTCAAACAAGATGAAATAAATATGCTTTTATAGAACTATTAATTATGATGGAGTAGTTTTAATTCAGGATATTTTGATTGGATGTGGTAGTCAAGTACTGTGTTACTACAATGAGACATGCATATTTCTTTTTGTTAAAAGAAATGCTGCTATTTTACGAAAATTGAGATCGGCCATGTTCAATTACAACTATTTATAAAAAAGTGTAAAAATGTTATCAATGTATTCTACTTTTACCCAACAGGACTTAGCGTTTATTTTTGTAATGATTTATAAATTAAATGACAAAAGTTAGTTTTGAAATGGAACATATAAAACAATAGTTTACTTTGCCAAGAAATATTCTTCTCTACAGTGTATTATGTTTTGTTGTAGAGAAGATTATAAACATGTTTTGCTGGGATTAAGTATACCATCGTGGCAAAAATTAATTTAATATTAATACATTCATTGAGAATTAATTTGTTTTGTCATATTTAAATTAAGTATGAATATTTATTAATGAATTTTCATTAATATATCCCACAGGTTGTGTTCAGAATTCAGTCACGTAATTAAAGCTTCTTATTATTTTAGAGTTTCTATTCAGTAGAGTTCTTTCTATAAATTTCTTCATTTTGATCTTTACAAGAAACTTTTCGTAGTTCCACAGTATTTTGTTTCTACTAAAAATTAAGATTTATGATTTGTTTATCATATATTATTACCAAATCTTGTGTTACAATCTAAGATGTTAATTATAGTGTTTCTACTTTGGGTATTTGACTGAACATTCTAGTAGATTGGTTTGACTGATTACAAGTGACCTAAAAATAATTATCTTGTATGTAAATTTGTGTCAAGTACATGGTGTTGCAGAGACAATGTATTCATTATAAATTGCAAGATTTAATTTTTACACAATGCTGTATGATGATTTTAATTAAAGGTACTTTTGATTAAAGACTTTTTACTTTTAACAACAGATAATAAAATAATCTTTCCCATTGTACCAAAGAGCATCACTAAACATTCTGAAGTATTTGTAATGATAATCCACAAGTTCATTGCTCATATACACATCCTTTTTAATAGTAATAATAATAATAATAATGATAATGTCTTTATTAATGGCGAGGCTCAGGCTATAGGGCCTGCTCTTCCGCCTAACCACTATAGTAGTAACCACAATAGTAGTAAATAGTTGATATTAACTACCCTCCATGTAGAATAGATCATTTATTTCATTTTTCAGAAAAAAGAAATTGTTTGCATGGATTCTTGTTTTATTACACTGGGAGTATTTTGATTTCTAAAAAAGTCTTTTTGTACAAAAGAGGAATTTCCTCAAATTTTTCAAGAAGACTTTCTTACGTTGTCTGTTTAATATTAAGCTTTTGATTTTGTTTGTATCTCCACCTCAGTTTGCATGACATTGCTTCAAAATTAATTTTCATTTCAGAAATATATTGTTTCAGGTAAGTCAAGTTACCAATTATAATTTACAATTTTTGCATGGTATGACAAAAATTGATGTGAATTCCCCGCTTCCTAGCCAACCCTGTCTTCCTTGTTCATCTGAAAAGGAAAGCAGCTTCTAATCCTGGGAGTGCCTTTCATGTCATGGAAACCAGGTGGAGTTCTGTCATGTATTGCTTATGGAGGGGAGGTAGTCTTAAAGGTGTTCCATGCAGCCTTGTAGCATGCCTGCACTCTACATCAGAACTGTGCTGCAGGACAGCATGGATTCACTAGCAGTAGGCTGATAATTAAGACTGGTTCACGTTGCGTCTGGTAATAATTTCATTACATGAGCAATAAAATCCTTTATTTTATTTTTATTTTTTCTCATCAATTTTTGAAAGTTTTCTAATGGTAAATTCTGATGGGAAATATTATGTTCTATTAATCTTTTCCCCTGCACGAAGTGGGAATTCACTTCAGTATAAAGAACAGATACATTGTAAAAAGTGGATACATGAGGTAAGTTATTGAATGATGTTTCTAAACATCAGACTTGTGAACCAGTCAGAACTTCTTTCATGTAGTGTATACATATTTTATTTCACAGCATGAATGCATTGATAAAGTATTAAGCCGAGTGCACTAGTATGAAGAAGCACAGTGTTAAAAGAAGTTAATGGTGATAAAATAATAGTTCATTGCACTTGGAGAAATTAGTATAGTATTTCATTTCTAATATTTTAGAAACAACAAAATCTGCAAATGTTTTGGATTTGATTTTTGAGAAATTATATCATGATAATTTGGAATGGTTTTACTTCAAAGATAGTTCTGACCTTTAATAAGATAATAAACAATAAATTTATTTTACAACTCCTTACACACACAGCAACACTTAATGTTTTTTATTTTTTTTAATACTGACAGACCAATGTAAATTCCAATTTGATATAATGGACTGAACATTTCTTTTAATCATATTGCATGTTTTTAACTTGAGTTTTATGCAATTTTTTCACATGGTGGAGATAGAATATGAAATAAGCAATATTCTGAAATTCATTTTGTGTGAAAGTGCATTCAAGGATTCACGATTCAGCCCCATCACCCGTGATGAATTCTCCAAGCTGCATGTGTCAGTGTCCATCTTGCGTCATTTCGAGGATGGTGTTGACTATTTGGACTGGGAAGTGGGTGTCCATGGAATTCGGATAGAATTCCATAACGAGAAGGGCAGCAAGAGAACTGCCACGTATTTACCTGAAGTTGCTCCAGAGCAAGGCATGTATATTCGGATAAGTCAAGAAAATATATTATTTATTTCACTCAATAAGGGAGAATATAACACTTATTTACAATATAAAACTTATTTAATAAATGAATTTAAAAGTTTGATAGCAATAAAAAATGAAGTGAATCTTAATTTTGTGACTCATATTTATAGTAACTTATAATTATTATAACATTAAATTCTAACAATGTAATGTTTGATGATTTACATTAGATGTGAAGCAACATTTTCAATTTTGAAACACTATGCTTTTTGTGTATCATAAGAAAAGTGTAGGATGATGCAGCATGTCCCACTATTTGTTTTTCTCAGGCTGGGACCAGATCCAGACAATAGATTCCTTACTGCGCAAGGGTGGATACAAAGGTTCTGTGACACCTGATATTAGACGTGCCATCAAGTTAACCCGTTACCAGAGTGAGAAGATCTCTGTGAGTTATCAGGATTATCTAAATCATTGGCGTAATCGGCGCTGCTAGCAGATACTGTGGGGCCCTCCTGGCCCCAGCAGTGGTGCAGTGGTGTGGACTGCACCACCTCAAACAATGACTCTGCACCATCAGACTCAGTCACAGACTCCTCCCTTAGTATTGCCACAAGCACCGCCACCAATGTTGCATCCGCAGTTTCCAACGCCGTCAACGTCATACGTGCCACAGTCGTTCATCTTGAACCATCACCAGCCTCCTCTTCATCAGGTCCCTCCCCCGTCGTCTGTCGTGCACTGGTGGGACCAGACGACTCCCGGGCCCTCGACCCTGTACCACCTACCACCTTGCCAAAACAACCAGGATGTTTCGAACGCTTCTGCCAGTTTTGGTGGACACTACACTCATCATCAAGTTAGGAAGCGCAAATGATGATGGGCTTTCCTTTCCTTAGGAAATGCTATAAATTTCCTTGTCCCAACCTGCCTTATTTCTGCTATTGCATTGTATGTGGGCAGTGTCCAGGATAACATAGCAAATAGCAACCCTTTACAAGTGTCCACTTCCTGATTTTCACTGCCTTTAATCCCTTCAAATCCAACATTGTGGCAGCTCATTCTGTAGTTCTGAAGAGGTTTCTGTGACCATCTCTGTTGTGAAGTTATTGGTCCCATGATTCATACGTACAATTTTCCTTCCTACTGAGACTTGTCCTTGAAGTAATCATAATACAGTAAAAACTGTGACTGATCTCACTGTGGTTTATAATTGATGTGCTTACATTATTAATATATTCTGAAGTTCTGTGGAGCCACCTGTGAAGCTATTAGAAGGAATACGATATCTCTTTTTTCTCAACAAATGTTTTGATGGTTAATGTTCTCTTATAATGCATAGTAGTTTGACAAAAACTACAAACTTGTTTTAAAGCTGTATAAAAAGCGGCCTTAGTATGAGTTTCATGCAAGGAAATCTGCGATGGATACTTCAAGAACATATTTCATTAGGAATACAAATGTGATGAAGTGATAGTGTTTTTCTGTTTGAGTCTCAAGAGGATGGTTCATGTAGTAAGAATAACCCCTGTTCACTGCCATTGAATGAAGTGCATGTTGTTGGTTAATTGGAAAGGAAACGTCATATGTGAATGACAGTTTCATTCATCGCAGTTCCTCTGCATTCAACAAGTTCTTTGCATGGAGGAATCGTTCTACGGTGGCTACATGAATTTCTGTCAGGAGGATGATCAGCAAAGCCAATACGGAAATGAAATAGCTTAAATAAAAAGTAAAATTATATCAATATTAGAGCATAAAGTAATTTGATAGATGAGCGTTTTCAAGTAATGAAAACTATTTTTAGTCCCGAGCCAAACTCCTTTTGAAGTATGGAGGATAAATGTTTATTCTGCACGTCTTTCAGTCATGTGACTTGCTCAGGAATAGGGGCTGTTCCGTTGCTATATGCCTGTGTTGTGACTGACATTTGAGCTCTATCATTTTGGTATTGGAAATGAGTAGTTTCCAATCACAGTTTTGTTACATTATAATCAGTTATTTTATTGATATTATAATTACTAATTGTCATGGAACATGTGCAGTAATCAGAAGAATGCAATAGTATTCTTGGAATTACCAGAAAAGAACATTTTGTAGGCAAAGATTTTTTTCTTACATGGTAATATAGACGCTTGTTTCCGGTGACATTATGTTAGATATACTGTTTTAGTGAAAAACTAATTTTGCAGATTGATTTAGTGTTATTCTTTGGTGCACAATAATGAACATATGTGGGACAAAATACAGTGTAGATGTTAGTGATATTTTTCACATTTTCAATACTAGAACTAGTATATTTGTTTGCTCTTAGTCGGTTGTTGGCTCGTATTCTGAATAATGGTTATAAGTACTGTTGCTGATACAAATTAGAAAGGAGGATCTGTGTAGTATATTGTCATGTTACATTGATCTGGATTTTACATGCAAGCTTCGCAGTTTGTATGTTGTATGAATCTAGAATAATGATGTCCTGAAAGGGAATAATTATATGGTCAGTCATAAACATACATGTACTGTGCATGGTGCAACAGATTGTGTGATTATATACAGGGCTTCTTTCTTTGAATTAATGTTAGTTTGGTGTTTTGTTCCATAGTGAAACACTGAAGGCCTTAATGTTATGCTTTAAAGAATAAAAAAGCAGTGAAATGTTTTTGTGTTGTGTGATACGGTTTATAAGAATTGGTATTGATGCAATTTGAGAATATATCTATTGATTATAGGAAATAATCAAAGTGAAATGTAAAGTAATGTATTTTCGATTGTCCAGCAAAAGTTGACATATGTCAGACAAAAAGTGCTTAAGTATTTCTATTGATTTATGATTGGTTATGTTCTTTTCATGTACATTGTGGCATAATGGTTTTCATTTCCTCTTGTTAATTTTAGTCATGTTTCAGCTTGTAGAAATTTATATACTACATAAATGATTAATGGTTTTTGTGGTGTTAGTTGTTGGACACACTAATTTTAGTAATGTTGCATTTGTAATTAAAGGAATGCTTTGTAGAGTTGTTTAAAGACAGTAATTATTGTTCCCATTGAAAATTTTGTCAAAATGGTGTGTTGTATGTAAACATAGATTAAGTGATAGATTGCATAGATATTGCTATCCTGATAAAATGGAATGTTTTGCTTGAGCTGTTTTCTGTTCTCTGTGCTATTACATGTAAGATATGTCAGCACTTGCTGGTCTCAACCAAAAAAACAACATATTTTGCAAAATGTTCATAAAAATTTACAAAATTTGATTAAACATGTATTTTATGATCAAAGATAATGACTGTTAAATAAATGTGACATATCCATTGTACCATTGAACGAGAAGTCTGTGTTTTCATTTTGTAGTGTTTATGTTGTGTGAACAAAGAACGGTACAGTTATTGTACTTCCCTGTATATTGGCCAATACAGTTATTGGGCTCATTGCTCACTACACTTTAAAGGCAAATGATTGTTTTAATATCTGTTTACTTGATAAATCTGAATCGCAGCATGCCAAATATACTGGGTTCTGTGCATTCAGAAATTAATTTCATGTGTTTAGCTGCTTAGAACTGTTTGTTGTAATAAATTGTGAGATGTTTGTAAAAGTAAACTGAAAGAAAGATTTACTGTTGTCTTCAAATGAAGAACATAATGCCACAGTTATCCAACTAGACATGTTATAAACAAAGGTGTTCTGCTGTTATAAACAATCTAGCCGGGGAAATGTGCATTTTGTCTTCCAAAATATGTATTGTGAAGAGTTCTTTGTATTGAATGCAGCTGGCTGTACTTAGGGGAAATATTAAATTGGTATATTTATTCACATATTTCATTTTATAAGTGTTACACATCGGTTGGCTCAATACAATTGTCTCAATATCAATATTCTGAAACTAACCCTTGGGCTTGGCTAAGTTAGAATTTTATTTTGAGAAAACCATGATAATCTAAACAATGAATGTGAGTTAGTATGATGTAAAAGATTTGTTTTCCATATATTGGGCACTTTGGTCTGACACCATGTTAAGTAAAAATTGTGGATTTATTGTTCTTTTGGTTATTCTGTACGGTGCAAGTGAAAAAAGGTTTAGTAAATGACCGACTTTGCATTGGTCATCCTTAGCCCTATAGTAGTTGTTTAAACAAAAATGTGGTAAAGGCTTACTGAAATTTTGCTGCCTTGAGTGATTTATTATAGCTATAGGTTTTATTTCAGGTGCTAAAACAATATTGTTTGTGAAAATTGACTTTGCATTTAATGTCATGGTGTGGATTTGCTATTACATGATTATGGAGAACTTGTTACTACACCAATTTTTAGTACTTAGTTCTAGCACAAATCCTCTTTTATATGCATTTTAATCGATAAAAAGTACAGACTTACCCTGAAAGGTTCTCTACTGGGCATTTGACATAGCATGTGTAAGCAATTATTTCATTTGCTCAATGATCATTGGACTTGAAAAAAAGTCCTATTTTATCGTCCCCCTCATTTGAATATGAATCTGAAACACTAATCTAGATTTTCCTCCACTTCAACTAGACCTTTAATTGCACATGCTACACAAGTTACTGTGAAATGTTCATTGGAGTATCAATCTCACTATTAAATAGTTGGCCATGATTAATTATTAATCATTGGTAATAAGATATTGACACATTGAATCTGATTGGTATAATTTTTCCTGTATTCTGTACGTGTAGCTTACCGTCCTTGTCATCTATTTGTGGAAATGTTTGCAAATACAATATACCTGCTTTTTATTCTCTTAACATGACACATGTCTAATCACTGAACTCTTTTAATTCCACTAGCTACATGCTGTATTACATGCTTGATTTTCCCGTCAAGTGGTCTCCTTCCCCAGACGTCATTCTTATTGCAGTACAAAAATTGGAAGTGCATTCAAATGCTTTAAATTAATAACATACCAGCACCACTGAGATAATGTGCATTCTATGCTAGTTAAGTAAATTAACATAGGAAGTAAGTTTCAAGTACAAACCATCATTATACTAGTAGTGAAGTGAAGTGGTGGCTTATGGTATGGTACAATATTATATACGTATAAGGCAGCAAATTGTAAAGTGTAAAAGAAATAAGTTTCAAACAAAGGCTAGAAATCGTATGTACTTGCAAATCAAAACAAAAACCAAGGGTGTACATTATCTGAGTTACGTTGGTTTCATGCTTTGTTACAAACTCCTTCAATGTAGCTCACAAACTGTAACTACTAAGGAACAGCCCATTAACTTTCTTATATATATATGATTATATAATATATATGGCAGCATATTTTATACACTATATGTAGTGGGGTCAAATATATATATTGTGCCTAGTTGTGGTTTCAACTGTTGTAGGGGGAGGCCACATACTTGAATGGATGGTCAGTAGACAAACATTACAAATAATCACGTGACACTTTCTAAATATAATAGTAACGGAATTCATGGATAAATAAATACCAGATTTTTAAAACTATCTTGGCTTTTATTTCAACCTCATCCATCTCTCTTCTTTTGCTACAGCACATAAAGATGTACTTCAAAAAACATTCAAATAAACTAATATTAAACTATGGCAGTCTCTTTCTCTATTCGAAGTAATTTTATTCTGATCTTCTGCATTGATTTTTCTTCACAGTGAGCAAGCCCCAAAGCAAAGAAGGCTTGGCAGGCACACATTAGAAATAAAATGTTTCCAATTGGTCGTGTCAATTTTTGCCATAATTTTAAATGTTCCAAAGGTTTTGTGATGGGTGGTAAGTTATAGGTGTAATGTCTTGTGGCAAACTAGAAATGAAACTTTCAATCAGTAACTCAAAAAGGTAATGATATTTAACAAACAAACTTCCTACTTGCCATAAATCCTGAGAGAGGAGCAAGGATTGCTGGAAATACAGTGGATATAAGTACTTGAAGACTTGCAGAACGCATCTGAACGCACACTGGGCATGCAGTCCTCTCAATGATGATGTCATTTGAAACTTCCTACAATAAAGATCTTACTGCTTACAAAACCCAATACATTTATTCTTTTATTTGTTAAACAGTTCATTACCTGTTGATGAATTAATGCAGAAAGCACAGTTGGCAAAGCCACAATAGGTAAATAAGAAGAAAATCTACCAAATTCATGAAGATGAAGTTTAGTTCGATAATGATTATTAATATAAATACCACAAAATGCACTGGTCACACTCAGTAATCCAATACCATATCGGAACGGCCAACTAGATGGAAGGATTGCTACATGTCAATGACAGTCACAATTTCTACACAATATTTTAAGCTACATATTTATAAATGAAAAAAAAAATAACTTAAGTCAAAATGGTACAAAATATTTTTTTTAAATTCTTACACATCTTTCTCTGGAGTCCAATTCATTATTAATTGCCATTGGCGATTTATTGCCTCTTGTTCGGTGAGCCTTACAGCTCCTTCTGGTATGGTGCCTTTTGCTTTATGCACCGACATATTATAACTATTATTTTATTATAATATTAACCTAAAACGGCATATAAGACGTTTTTATACACTGTACATTAATATCAGAATTTTAAATATTCTATGTATAAAAGTCAACGTCAACTATTTATTAAAAAATGCGGCCATCTAAGCAACACAATTTGAAAATTCTCGAAGTTCAATTTTTAACTCGTGAACATAAAAAAATATTCCACACCATTCTCCTCCCTTCTATTACCACTACACTCTCATTCAACAACAAGCATGGAATAAACGAGTAAGAACGAAGGGTTCATAGAATGTGCATATGGTGGATTCGAATTGGTTATTAGAATCTCTCAGAGGTCTCGACACGCTCGTGGATTCAACATCCTTGGAGAGTTCCACATCGTGTGACGTCTATACTCCACATCGACCAATCACATCAGTCGTCAGACGGGACACCAGCTGCGAAAGTTGCGGGACGCCATATTGTGTGGGTTGTGGATGTTTATGTTCGGAAGTGTTGCGGTTTTAATGTTGCTCTGCGGTCTTGTATCGTGCGTACTTGAATAAGAGTGAATTGTGTACCACGACTGCTTATTACGTACATCATATCAAAGTTTAGAAGACAGTGTGTCAGCATTTCCTTCGTTCTGCTGCTTATATCGGAATCACTGTTGAAGGGACTTGCTCACCAGGATCTTTAACTCTGAAGACGCCTTTGAAATTGATCAAGAATGCCTGTTCGTAAACAAGGTGGTAAGATCAAATTACTTAGTGCTAGGTGTTGGTTGATTGTTGTGGCTTGTGGTCTAATTCATATATTTTTTTCTTGTGGAGGCGTTGGAGTTTCTCTCGTGTAAATGTCTTAGGGTGTCATCTGTCAGATTCTTGTGTTTAGACATTCGTTCCCACCGGCATATGAGCCAATCCACTGAATGTAGTGGGAAATACTGACTCATAACCGATAAGAACAACATTTTTGACTATTTTTTGCGTGCTGTCATATAATGACAATTCCGTTGAAACATTTTCAATTAATATCGAGAAACTTTATCTAATACCTTCTGCTTATCGTTCGTAGATACGATTGATTTTCACTTAATGTTTTCGAAAATATAATGTGAAAAATATGGTGTGTTGTTACTTAGAATGCATGTGCTCCGACAGTTAGCCTCAGCTTAATTCGCAAGTGTGCAACGTGCGCTCTCCGTGCTCCTGACCCGGTGAATTTCATATAATATGAATCATGTAGGTTGTGGGACATCCGTTCTGTTTATTAGTGACAAATGAAATAGTTTTACATATCTGTCATTTTGTGCCACCACGTGAGTTAATGTACGTGGTTATAGTTAGATTCATTAGGCGACGTAAGCTTATAAATTCATGTAATTCTGGTCTTATGTGTAAAATACTGATTGTGAACAAAACCTGCACGTTTCATCAGATATATTAATTACATTGTATTGCATTGATCAAACCATTTCAATTAGATTATTTCGACTTCAGCATTTCAATCCGAATCCCGTCATACCTGCGTAGAAACGTTTATTTCAAATCTGGGGCGAGCACCCATTTTCATAAATTTATGTTCGTAATTTCGACTTTTGACTTTGTATTTTGCTACTGTAATTGTCACGCATAGACACTACTTACTAATCAGTTTGCTTGATCCGGTTATTTGTCATGGATCGTTCTTTCAGGACGTTTGAGCTGCTTTTAATTTCAGCAGAGGGATAAATTATTTTAGGTTACATGCTAAGAATAGATTTGGATTTGTTGGTGTTTAATGGATACTCTCAAAATGACACCGCTCATTGAATAAAAATAGTTTGTTACCCCGTGTTTCCGTTAAATTTGGTTTCTTCTTTACTTTCATTTTTTTCCCTTCAGTTTTCTGAAGAAATAAAAATAGAGTTTCATCTGCCTGCGATTGTAATAAAAAATATTATCAAATGAGAAACGAGTTTGGAAAACTCAAGGCGAAAGGCACTCTAAAATGAAATGTGTGTGAGTGTGGGTAACGTATAAATCGCGTTTGTTTTAGAAGGGAAATTGGAATTAGTGAAGTACAGTGGAGAAAGCATCCCTCAAAATAATGTTACTACAACTTCGGAAACACGTTCTTGTTCCGTAAAAAATATAAATACAGTGTTCAAAGTTATAATTTTGGGAAAGTATTTTTGTATTTAATTTATTTAACGTTAGAAAAACCTGTCAGTGGCGCAAGGGGAAGGACTATCTGTGCAAGTTTTCTCGTGTTTCATAATCTCGTGGCTCTTTTACTATGCCATGTTGGATGATGGGTATCAAGAGCGTTTTCAGTCAAATTTGATGACAAGAAATACTTGCTCCCGTGTATTAGAAAGCGGGATCGGTAAACACACTACGGATATTGGCTCTTACCTCTTGCTATTGTTGCTGTTAATTTTGTGCTATGAGGAAAACGAGGCAATTACTGTTTCAGACATGGCATTGTAGTGTATAATCTTCATTAGTCGTGAGACAAATCGTGTGTAATATCATTCAGAGCATCGTAAATTAATAAATAATAGAAGTGAGAAGATATTCAGAATGTTTTTTGAAATGTGCATAAATAAATTCACTGTGTATCTTCTACAATTTTTTAAATAAGTTTTTCAATTTTTGGGAGGAACGTTCCGTTAGTTTAAGAAATGGCCACTTGGGATCCTTTTTTCCTTTTGACAGCTTTAAGGATGTGAACAATATTGTCGCCTCGGGTAGCAAAGCGTTTGCAGGATCTCCCTACTGACGTATTTCCGAGAAAATCGCCAGCAACGTTGGAAACGCCTATTTACTACCACTTATGCTAGGAAGGTTTAAAGGGTGCTGGAGTAATGCGTAAGCAGATTATATCACATGTGTAGAGTCACAGCCTCTATTACAGTCACCTCTATTACCTTGGTAGAACCCATACTGCATGTCGGCCGCCAGTTGATTTTAAAACAAAATTTTATATTAGTCCGTGTATGCGAAATATATTTTAATATTACATTTTTAAATCACAAAATAATGTAATTTATGTTCATAATTGTTATTACACATGTTTAATATTGAAATATTTTAAGGGTCCCCTTAGCTTGATCATGTTTAGGGTTTCTAATTAGGGTATTAATTCAGCCGGCCTTGAATGGTTAGCCAGTTACTTGAATTTGTACACTGCATTTCTGCTAGCTCATGTATGTTTGCAGCAAATGAAGATACAGGCGCGTTGGAAATTAAAACTGCTTCAAAAGCTCGTTTTACGTACCCACAACTAGACCCTCACTGTGAGTTGTGTGCTACCCGTCACTTCTGCTATGGGAACTGTTCAACTGACTTCTTTCACGTGGCGACTGAGGAATAGAGTAGTTAAGCAAACGATCAGGGTTGTGTAATAATGCATAAATAGACCAAGCTCATGCTTAGGGGACCCGAATTATTTTTTAAACAAAATGTGCACGTATGTGTGTGGATGTGAAATATGTTAATTTGAAATATTCAGTTTACAAGGTTATGTTTATTTATATTGGCTTTGTTTTTTATTGCGAGAGTCAAGTATTTTAACACTATTTGGAAGCTCCAAGTGCATTGGTCATGCTTCGGGATCCAGCATTAATAGTGCTCACTACGGAATGTTTTTCATTAATCTCACACGAACGCGGCAGCGGGACGTAGTGGTCTACTCACCCTACGTGGCGAGGTTTCTAGACGTAAGAAATGCTGCAATACTCTTAATGTAGTCGACTGACAATAATTATTTCGATATTTGTGATCATGGACCATATTAGCATGAGTTGTAGTTTTGCTGCAATCACCCATTTGTTACGGTTGAGAAGTACACATAAGTGGAACACATGAATTAGAATCTCATACGCATCAGATATACACGATTGTCATATGTTAGTATTTATACTACTGATACTATGTTGAAAGAGCTAGTGTGTGGTGAATTCATGTGAGCACATGCAACTTCGCTCGGAAATCGAGCTCCTTGTGCTTGTATTATTTGTTGTATACTATACATTACGTAATTATATACACACTCACAGGTTATGCCAGGTAACTTTATTTCCAGCTTCTACTTTTGTTCAGTTAAAGTTATGGCAATGGAGTTTTCACAGAAATGCATGAGGGAATGGGGCTAATTGATAAGTGTATTCATTTCCATTTTATCACTTGTACTTTACGAGGTATTTGAGGTAACTTTGTTTTTTCAAATGGAACTACACATATTTTTTCAGTTTATCATGACCATTAGATAAGCGTTTTTGAGTAATTTTGATTTTTTTGCAAGTAGTGTTTAACGGATATTTTGAATGTAACCGTCCGCCACACAAGGTCACGCAGCGCTTCACCAGAAAATGCGCGCTCGGGGAAGGGAAGGGATGGGATGGGATCTTAGCATTTGAAGATACGTAACATATTCCAAATATTCTCAAAACTGTTGCAGTGTCTTTAGTATCAAGATCTCATTAATATCCTGAGGTACGACACCCCTTTAAATGAAGCTGAAATAACAATCTTATTTCAATACATAATACTTATGACAAATCCGTATTTTCAAACCTTAAGTAATTAAAAAAATATGAAATCGCGAAAGGATGGAAAGTAGAGTTCAGAAAAAAAAACCTGCAACAGTTTTGGGAATATTTGGAATGGGTTTTGTTCGTTCAAATACTAAGATCCCTTCCCTTGCTCGAACGTGCGCTTATACATTAGTCACAAAAAATCAAAATTACTCAAAAAATGCTTATCTAACATATGGTAATGCGTGTATCATTGGATTTGTCTTTTTACGCTCGTTACGATAGACCTAATACGATATATAGTTTTATTTAAAAAAACAACAACAAAGTTATCTCAGGTCTCATAAAATACAAGTGGTAAAATAGAAACGAATACACTCCTCAATTAGCCCCATTCTTTCATGCACTTCCATGATATCTGCTTTGCAATAACTTTAACCGTTCAAAAGTTAAAGAGGTGCTACGTTACGTGACTCACACTGTATATATGCGCGGAAGCCTGTTTCGTATTTTTATGTACTGTACTTTTTCATATTCTGTAATCTAATGAGGCCGTGTATGTTGAAACTTTTGTGAGTGATCAGTAGTGACCATTCTTGGAATGACTGGCATCGCGATCTTTAAATGTAGTGCGTAAGTGTCGCACGACGTTTGTTTATCTAAACGTATCTGTGATAGAGAGCGCTTAAAGCATGTATATACATTTTTTTTCAATCAAGCATTAACTATTACCTTTAGAAAAGTTTATTT